AAAAAAAAAAAAAAGAAAAGAAAAAAAAGGGACGTCGTGACAGCCCGAGACAGAACACCACAGCACGGCACTCACGTTTCAAAAACCGAAAAAGCAAGCCAAATTCAAACGAAAACAGCCCTTTTCGAGGCCGAGGCCTGAGCGGAAAAAAGGGGGGAGAGGGGCTTTGACAAAAGCCACGCCGAGCCCACGCGCCTCTTTTTGTGCTCGACGCGATTCTGCTGCGCCTCGCGCCAGCGAGCCCAGTCGAAGGAAAGGGCGTCCCTTTTTCTTCTTCGCCTTCATGCACCAGCAGCAGCTCTGTCATCACGCGTTGGCGCCCGCGCGCCCATTCAGGACCCTGCACCCGCGTCCGCCTCGCCTGCAGCTGATCCGAACACATCGGCTCTTTCTCTTCAGATCCATCGGCGATTCAATTTCCCTGGCCGCCAGGGTCCAGCTGACATCTTGCTGCTCCCACGCCGCGCACGCTTCTGCTCGCCCCCCATCGCCGCCGCCCCAAGTCACAATGAAGCTCGCCATCCAGGGGTGTAGCCATGGCGAGCTCGATGCGATCTATGCGTCGGTGCTGCGCATCGAGCGCGAGCGCAGCATCCACATCGACGCGCTGCTGCTCTGCGGCGACTTCCAGGCGGTGCGCAACCCCGCCGATCTGCATGCGCTCTCGGTGCCGCCAAAGTACCGCCAGCTGGGCGAGTTCCACGCCTACTATGCGGGGCGCAAGCTCGCACCCGTGCTCACGCTTGTCATCGGGGGGAATCACGAGGCGAGCAACTACATGCACGAGCTCTACCACGGCGGCTGGCTTGCGCCCAACATTTACTTTCTCGGCGCAGCCGGTGCGGTGGAGCTCAACGGACTGCTCGTCGCCGGTATTTCGGGCATCTACAAGAGCCAGGATTATCACAAGGGAAGGTACGAGAGGCTGCCGTACGATGCCGGGTCGCTGCGCAGCTGCTACCATACGCGCGAGTTCGACGTGCTCAGGCTCAGCGCCTTGGCGGCCGACAAGGTAGACATCGTCATGTCGCACGACTGGCCCAATACGATCGAGCAGTGGGGCGATACACAGACGCTCATCCGCAAGAAGCCATTCTTCGAAAAGGAGATCAGCACACAGAGCCTCGGATCGCCACCGCTCATGCAGCTGCTCCAACAGCTCAAGCCTGCCTTCTGGTTTTCGGCACACCTCCACGTCAAGTTCGCAGCCATCTATCCGCACGGCCGCACCGCTGCCGGCACACAGGAAGCACAAGCCAGCGAGAATGCCAATCCAGAGGCGCTTGATATTGATCTCGACTTTGACGAGGATTCCGCGGCCGCGGACGCGGCGGGCGTCGAGGACAAGCCAGCGTCGGTGATGGACTCGGCGTCTGAATCGGGCGTGACGCGCTTCCTGGCGCTGCACAAGTGTCTGTCGCACACGCCGTTCCTCCAGGTCATCGAGCACGCCTCGCCGCTGGATGACGAGCTGGCCGCACGCAAGGCTGCGGTGAACAACGAGCAGCGCGTCATGCCGCGGCTTCGATTCAGCCCACGCTGGCTTGCCATCACTCGCGCGTTTCATCCTCACCTCTCGCTCTCCTACCGCCAAGCTGCGCTGCCGGACCCTGCGCAGCCGGACTTCGCCGCACAGATCCAAGCCGAACTGCGTGCGGTGGATGAGCATCTCGCCTCGCTCGCCCCGCGCGCGGGAAAACGAAAGCTGGACCAGCAAGAGGCGAGCGATGATCCACTCGACGTGTTTGGCGTGCAGCGCTTCGTGCGCACCGCACCCGCACTCCACGAGCCCGGTGGAGACGCCACCGGTCAACCGGCCTGGTACACAAACCCGCAAACCGAACAGTTCTGCGCCCTGGCGGGCATTCCGAACAAGATCAACCCGCGTCCCTACCAACAACCTCCCATGCCCAACTTGGCCCCTCCGCCACAGGATTGGACCGACCCCAACGCGCTTGCGATTGACATGGACGATTTCGACTCACCGCAGGCAGATGACGTTCTGCGGCTCGATGATGACGAGTCGCAAACACGCTGGAAAGAAGGCACAGGCTAAACACCACACCGCAATGCGCAGAAAAACAGGTTGGAATTCAAGAGTGCCAAGTGCGGGCTTAGGCGTTGGCCAGCGGTTTTTTCGACTCGTACGTTTGCAGAAGCGGCTCGATCTTGCGGATGAGCGTGTTGGCCTGGTTGGGTGCGAGGTGGTCCATGTAGGTGTAGAGGGTTTTCACGGGATCCTCCTGTGCGCGTTTGGCGACGTCGGTACCTCGCATGGCGACGTAGGACAGTGCAGCCGCGAGGTTGTGGTAGAGCCGTACGCTGCGTGTGCGCACCAGCGTCTCGTTGCCCATCAGATACGCCTCTTGCGTCGGATGCGTGAGTGCCCCGTGTGCTGCGCTGGTGAGCATGGAAATCAGCGCATCCGTTCGTGCAAACACGTTCTTCAGCAGCGGGTTGGTGGGCGCATTGCGGTTCGACGTCAGACGGAACGTCGTAATGTACGCGTGCGGAAGGTGCGACAAGAGCAGTGCATCGTACGTGCCAGCGTTGGGTCGAAGCGTCTGTGCGAGCGTGGTGAGCATGGTCATGCGGTCGATGAGGCTGATCTGCGCGCGCGCCAGCGGCATGTCCAGCTCGTGCTTGCGCGAAATCGCCTCGGCCTTTCCCTCCTCTCCCTCCACAGCAGCGGTCTCGGAGGGGACCACGCCAAACAGATCCGTCTCGTGCGTGGGAGCACCGGGCAACTCGGCACTCTCGAGCAGCTCCGCACGGTCGTTGCGGTTGAGCTTCTTGGTCAGCGCCGTCTGAAGCAGATACAGCGACTCCATATCGTACTCGAGCCCGTACGTGTACCTGTCCAGGAACGCGTTGAGCGCCAGTTCCGGCAGCTGCATCCTCGCCGCACGCGACGCAAGTGCTCGACCGGACTCGACCCCCAAACTGCCCACGCGGTCGCGGTAGACCTTGGCAATGTCGAGCATCTGCTCGAGCTCCTCGCGCGTGCCCATGCGCCCGGCAAGCGCACGGAAGCGCGACAGACTCGGGAAGCGTCCCGCATCCAGCACGTCCCACTCCAACGACGCGCGGTAGTCTTCCAGCGCCTTGACCATCTCGACGCGCGAAGTCTCGGCCGCTGCAGGCGTCGCCGAAGCCGACGTGCCCGCATCCGCAACGCTCCCAAAAAGATCATCGTCCTCGATCGCAAACTCGTCCGACTCCTGATCGGCTGCGAAATCCTCCTCGACGACCAGGCTCTTCTTGGACTTCTTCTTGAGCGAGCTGCTCGATGAGCTGAATGCCTGTGCGGATGCCCACTGCGATGCGGGGGGAGCAGCAATAGCAGCGGTGGGAAGCGCCGGTCGAACCAGGGCGCGCGATGCAGGGCCACGAGCAGCAGCGCGCAGCACCGCCCTCGCCAACGTATGCGAGCGCATGTTTTCGGTGTCGATGCGGTTGAATGAACGAGGTGTCGTGGGGAAGGTGTTGGTGTGATATCAAGTGCAGAAGTTGATGCTGCTCGTCTGATTAGGCAAAGCGAAGCTGGTTGGCCGCCGCGGCGTTGAATTGGAAGAAAATCATTGACAGACAGCCTCTCAAGAAGTCGCCTCCTTCCTGCGACTTCCGACGAAAATCGGGCACTCATCACGTGGTCGACGTCCTCATCTCCCGATCAAATTTGCGAGACCCCGATTGTTCGGTCCCCCCTTCTTCCCATCAACTTGACACTCAAACAACCAGGCCCCCGGGCGCATCCACACAGCAGAGGGCAAGACGGATCCATGGATGACGAGAGGCAGCTATGTGAGTGAATTGTAGACGTACAAAAGAGGGACAGAAGACAAGGCGCTGTGACCGGGAAGAGAAAGAAGCGAATGAAGGTGTGAAGTGGCTAATGCTGTGAGAGAAGTTGGGGATCAGTGACCGTTGGGCGCGTGGTTGCTGAGCGCGGCGTCGGCACGGTCCAGGTCGGCGCTCGAGAGGAACTTGCCGCCGCCGAGGCCCGGGGTGGATGCGCCGCTCATGCTGCCCACCGAGGTGCCGCGGTTGCGCGACTTGATGACGAGCGGGAAGCGGTACGCCTCCTCCTCGTCGTCCGAGCCGTGTTGGCTCATGGTCTTCCAGAACTGCTGGTGGCCCTTGTAGTCGGAGGTGGAGAGTCCCTGCAGCTCCTCGGTGAGCGTGCCGAACTCGCCGGGCGTCCTGGCGCCCGCGCCCGACGGGCTGCCGGGCATCGAGAGCGGCGGAGGCATCTTGCCGTCGCCGTGGATGTCGTCAAAGTAGCTCTCGATCGTGTCGTCCTCCTCGAACGAGTCCGGGTACGCCCTGCGCAGCGCGAGCTGGCGCGCCTTTGCATACTCCAGACCGAGCCTCTTCCAGTCGAGCAGCTCCGAAAGGCGCTCGGTGCGGTTGCGCTGGTTGATGCGCTGTCGGCGCGTCTTTTGACTGAACTGGAACATCTGGTCGGTGAGCTGGTTCACCGAGTCCTCGACGCTCTTCATGCGACGGTCGACAATGTAGATGCCGTAGTCCTCGCCGCGCTCGATGGTGTCCTCCATGAAGCAGCCGAATCCGGACAGGTTGGTGGTGATCGACGGCACGCCCATGACGGTGCACTCGGCGGGCGTGTAGCCCCACGGCTCGTAGTACGAGGGGAAGACGCCGAGGTGGCAGCCGCGCACAAACTCCTCGTAGTCGAGACCGAGGATGGGGTTGTTGGCGTTGAGGAACTCGGGGTGGAAGATGACCTTGACGCGGTCGCTGGTGCGGTTGAAGAGCTGGACGCGGCGGATCTGGTTGAGGATGGGGTCGTTGTCGTCGTCCTGCATGTTGTGCGTCACGACGGGCGGGAGCGAGTTGCGCTTGAGCGCAAAGATGCGCTTCTTGAGCGCGATCTTGTCCGCGTCCGACAGCAGCGTGGCGGGGTCGATGACGTCCGAGCCCGTCTCGCCCTGGTAGCGCGCCATCTTGTCGAAGAGACGCTCGCCGACGCGCGCCTGGATCTGCTCGACCGTGTCGCGCAGCTGCTTGGTGACCGCCTGGCCCTTGAGCGCCTCGATGGTGTACGAGTTGGTGGCGGCGGGCATGATGATGAACGCCACCACGGTGGTCTTGGATCCGCTCTTCTGCAGCTTGTAGTTGAGACGCGCGAGCGACTCGATGAACATGTCGACGCCCTTGTTGCGGTACTCGTATCGGCCGGCGGTGAAGAAGTAGAGCGTGTTTTCGAGGTCAAAGTCGTAGTGGCCGTAGAAGTGGCCCTTGACAAACTCGTTGATCTTGGCCTTGGAGACGGCGTGGAGGTTCTGGAACTCGTGCATGGCCGAGAACTTGACGACGTTGAGGCCGTTTGGCAAGACGCCGTCCGGCTTGCGCTTGAGCAGATGCTCGGACTCGTACGCGGTGATGTGGCTGACGGTGGTGAAGACGTCGGCGCAGTGGGCGGCGGCGCGCTCGACGCAGTAGCGGTGGTAGATGCCGCGCTTGCCCGCCTCGTGGTCGACGTCAAAGTACTGGAGGTTGTTGTAAAAGTCGACGCTGCCTGCGCACAGGTAGCGGCCGAGGAGGGTGGCGTGGGTGGTGAAGATGGTGGTCACGTCGATGTGGCGCTTCCTGCAGAGCGGGATGGCGAGACCCGCCTGCCACTCGTGGAAGTGGGCGATGATGGCGCGCTTGCGCTCGCGGCTCGAGTACTCGCCGAGGAACCATGCGGTGAGGTAGCCGAAGACGAGCGTCTCGTTGGTCTCGTGGTCGTGGGAAGGGGTGGGGATGCCGGCGAGGTTCCAGAGGTCGCCCTTCCACTCGTCCATGCGGTGGTACATGCTGGAGGTGTCAAAGAGGAGCACGCGCGGCGCACGCTCGATGAGCCAGCGACCGTAGAGGAACTTGACGCCGGCATCGCGCATGCTGTCGAGCGTCTCCTTGAGCAGCGGGTCCTCGGGCTCGAGCGCCTCGACCTCCATGGGCGCCGTCTTGTACGAGAGCGGGCCGATGAGCGTGTAGCGGTCCCCATACTCCTGGTGCGTGACGGGCGCCTTGGTCTTGATGACGGTGTAGATGCCTCCGACCTTGTTGGCGACCTCCCAGGCGCACTCGAAGAGCAGCGGGTTGTGCACGTCCCGCTTGGGGGACTGCGAGTGGTCCGGAGCCATGATGAGGAGCTAGCGAGCTAGGGCTTGCGCGGTGTGTGGATGGATGTGCGTGCGGCGGTGAAGGATCACACCGACCGGGAAGAAGAGAAAGCAACGACGGTGGCGACGACGGCAAGAGGCGCGATGGGTGCGCGATGTGGATATAGGCCAGTCGAAGGAGCGTCGCGAGTGGATGGGATGGTGGGAAGTCAGGAAGAAGAAGGGGAGCGGGGATGCCAAGGCAAGAGGGCGGACGGCTGGGTTATGTGGACTCAGAGGGATGGAAGAGCGCCGAGGCGGTCAAGTTGAGCGAGGACAAGGCGAAGGGGGACGGCGGGGCGTCTGCGAAGACAGAACTGAAACCCAGGCGCGATGACGGCGGAACTCGCGCGTGGGGTGAGAAGGGTGGCCAAAGCGAGTGGCGACTGGACGGGAATTTGTTGCGATTGAGTGGATCAGGCACCTCGCTTCGTTCCCACATCGCCTCAATCCACTTTGTTTCTGCAGCGCAGCGCAGAGTAGGAGAGTGCAGTCCTGCGCACAGCAGCAAACTTTTGGGAACGGGCTCGCGGCATGACTTATCCAGCCTCATCAGGACGGCTCTTCCGAACCACCGACTGGAAAACTCCTTCCGCCCGAGCGAGCGCCACCCGGCTAGGCGAGAGTCAAAGTTCGGGTCGCGCGCCGAAGCTACAACGAGAGCCGGCGTTGTAACACTCTCCTGCTGGTACCACTCGACTCTCCGCAGACGGAGTGATGGAGCGGCCGGGGAGCTTGGTCGGCGCCGGCTGCGTGCACGGGCACGAGCCGGAGACGAGAGAGACCGAGCAGGCGGCGTGCAGGGTGGAGGAGGAGGGGCAGCGCGGTCCGAGTTTGCTGTGGTACAGGCGGGCAAGCCAGCTGACCAGCGAGCTGCAAGCGTTCCAGAGCCAATGAGAAGGAAGGGCCGAAGTTGGGCCAGGATCAACGCATTCGGCTCGACAACGGTCTGGCCCCCGCAGCTGCCTTAGGCCAGTGAGGAGACGAGGAAAATCATGCGTCGTGGAGCTCCTCATTATTGGAGACTCCGCTTTGCAAAGTCCAGGCGAGGCGGAGCAAAGCGAGACGCAGCACCGGCAACCACACAAGTGTGAGCTTCACGCCAATCAAATTTGCTCCAGGCAGCTGCGCCTGTGTGCGCGCAGGCGTGGGGGGGGGGGGGGGAAAAA